GGATTACAGGTGTGAGCCACCCCCACCCCGTTCTGAAAGCTTTATTCTTTTTTTTTTTTTTTCCTTTTTTTTTTTTTGAGATAGAGTTTTGCTTTTGTTGCCCAGACTGGAGTGCAATGACATGATCTTGGCTCACTGCAATCTCTGTCTTCCAGGTTCAAGTGATTCTCCTGCCTCAGCCTCCCAAGTGTCTGGGATTACAGGCATATGCCACCATGCCTGGATAACTTTGTAATTTTAGTAGAGACTGCGTTTCACTATGTTGGACAGGCTGGTCTTGAACTCCTGACCTCAGGTGATCCACCTGCCTCGGCCTTGGTCTCCTAAAGTGCTGGGATTACAGGCATGAGCCATTGCATCTTTTTTTTATTTTCCAAGACAGAGTCTTGCTCGGTAGCCCAGGCTGGAGTGCAGTGGCAAGATTTTGGCTCACTGTAGCTTCCACCTCCTGGCTTCAAGCGATTCTCCTTCCTCAGCTTCCTGAGTAGCTGGGAATCACCACGCCTGGCTTATTTTTGTATTTTTAGTAGAGACTGGGTTTCACCATGTTGGTCAAGTTGGTTTCGAACTCCTGACCTCAGGTGATCCTCTCGCCTCAGCCCCCCAAAATGCTGAGATTACAGGCATGAGCCACTGTGCCTGGCCCCAGAGTGAAACCTTGTCTAAAAAAAAAATTTGTAAAAATGTGGATGGTTCTAAACACACAGGAGAGAGAGAGAGAGACTGAACAACAATGACATCTGTTAGTTTCGTCGCCTACTGCTGTTGCCTGCCATTTTCTGCTGCCTGTACTGGAAAGCAGAAAGCCAGGACCCAGAGAAGGAACAGGAAGCCTCAGAGAGAGGCTGAAAGAGGGAAAGTTGGTGTAAGGGTCATTGCCGAGTTTAAAATGAGGAAACTGAGGCTGGTATAAGAAAATTAAATGCCAATTTATTCAGCTCCTGGGCGAGGTTCTCTGGTCCGGGGAAAGGGGGCCAGAGAAGCCGTGCTGACTTCCTGGGTGGGGGGGTACGGCTGGGAGGAACGAGCAACAGCTGGGTGCTCTGATTGGGTCCAGGGGAGCGGGATTGGGATGGGGCGGGCCGCTATTGGTTGGCGGGTTGTTGGGCGGGTTTTTCGGTGTGAGATCCGCCAGGGTGGCATTAGCCGGAGACTTCCGAGGGAGCCATGTGGCAGAGCTAGGTGCCGAGCGCAGAGCCAGGTGCCGAGCGCAGAGCCAGGTGCCGAGCGCAGAGTCAGGTGCCGAGCGCAGAGCCAGGTGCCGAGTGCAGAGGTGGGTGTGTCCGGCCTCCTGGCGAGGCAACCGGCCTTACAGGTGGTCAGCCACCATGCTGGGTTCCCTCTAGTCCTCAGCTCCCATCTCCTTCTGAACTCACCTGCATCTCACCCAGTGTCTTTCCAGCAAATTCCCATGATCTCTTAGGTAAATCAGACTGGCTTATCATTGCTGGCAGATACAAGAGCTGTGGTCTTTACAGCAACATCTTATCAATCAGCAGGTACCAGGACTTAAAGGTAAGTAAGGGAATGTGTTGGAAGAGGAAGAAAACATTTTGCCAAAGGCTTTGTTTAGGTAAATCAGCCAAAAGAAAGAAAGTAAAAAAAAAAAAGCAGCCAGGTGCAATGGCTCACGCCTGTAATCCCAGCACTTTGGGAGGCCAGGGCGGGTGGATCACCTGAGGTCACTAGTTGGAGACCAGCCTGACCAATATGGTGAAACACTGTCTCTACTAAAATTACAAAAAAAATTAGCCAGGTGTGGTGGCGTGCACCTGTAGTCCCAGCTACTCGGGAGGCTGAGGCAGGTGAATTGCTTGAACCCAGGAGGCCGAGGTTGCAGTGAGCCCAGGTTGTGTCATGGCGCTCCAGCCCGGGCAACAGAGCAAGACTCTGTCTCAAAAAAAAAAAAGCCAACAAATTAGTAGCAAACTTCAGTTATCCCTGAAGATTCAGAGAAGTAAAAACATCAGCTAATTCTTTCTGTCACCAGGCTGGAGTGCAGTGGTACAATCTCGCTCACTGCAACCTCCGCCTCCCGGGTTCAAGCAATTCACCTGCCTCAGCCTCCCGAGTAGCTGGGACTACAGGCACACGTCAACCACGCCCAGCTAATTTTTGTATTTTTTAGTAGAGATGGGGGTTTCACCATGCTGGCCAAGATGGTCTCGATCTCTTGACCTCGTGATCTGCCCACCTCGGCCTCCCAAAGTGCTGGGATTACGGGCGTGAGCCACCACACCTGGCTCCTAATTCTTTTTTTTTTTTTTAAAGATGGGGTTTCACCATATTGGTCAGGCTGGTCTCGAACTCCTGACCTCAGGTGATCCGCCACCTCAGCCTCCCAAAGTGCTGGGATTACAGGCATGAGCCACTGCACCTGGCCTAATTCTTTTTACTATAAATGAACTAAAATGATGTGTATACATCTGTTGGTACATGTGACATAATTTAAAAAATATATATTTGGTCTCTGTCCTTGGTTCCTGGCACACAGCTCCTAAAACCCTTGTAATTTCCCAAGTGATGGAGTGATAAGAGCATCTTTTGTTATGTTTAGTCTTTTTTCAGTGTTTTTCTTGTGTGTGTGTGTGTGTGTGTGTGTGTGTGTGTGTGTGTGTGTGAGAGACAGAGTCTCACTCTGTCACCCAGGCTGGAGTGCAGTGGCTTACGGCCACCTTTGCCTCCTGGGTTCAAGCGATTCTCCTGCCTTAGCTTCCTGAGTAGCTGGGATCACAGGCGCCCACCACCACGCCCACCTAATTTGGGTATTATTAGTAGGGGCAGGATTTCACCACGTTGGCCAGGCTGATCTTGAACACCTGACCTCGTGATCCACCCCAAAGTGCTGACATTACAGGCATGAGCCATGCCCAGCTGAGGGTTGGAATTTTTAGCCCCACCCCTGATCCCTGGAGAGGGGAGACAGGCTGGAAGATGAGTTTAATCACCAATGGCCAGTGAATTTAGCCAATTGTGCCTATATAACGGAACCTCCATAAAATCTCTAAACAGTTTGAAGAGCTCCTGGATTAGTGAACACGTGGAGGGGGGCGCCTGGAGAGGCCATGAAAGGTCCACGCGCCTTCCCCATACCTTGGCCTATGCCTCTCTTCCTCCCGCTGTTCATTTGTACCCTTCTTAACAAACCAGTAATTGTAATTCAAGTGTTTCCCTGAGTTCTGTGAGATTTTAAAGCAAAGTATCAGACCTGAAGAGAGGGTCATGGGAACCCCCAATCTGTAGCCGCATCAGTCAGAAGCACTGGAGGCCTAGGCATCCAAAGGGAGGGGCAGTCTTGTGGGACAGAGTCTTTTATCTGTGAAGTTTGACTCTACTCCAGGTAGGTAGTGTTGGAATTGAATTGAATCCTAGGACACCCGGCTGGTGTCAGGAGAATTGAAAGACCGGTTGGTGATATGGTTTGGAGCTATGTCCCCACCCAAATCTCACATCAAATTGCAATTCCCAGTGTTGGGGGTGGGGCTTGGTGGGAGGTGAATGGACCATGGAGGCCGAGGTGGAGGTGGAGGCAGATTTCCCCCTTTGGTGCTATTCTCATGATAGAATTCTCAGGAGATTTTTTTCTTTTTTTCTTTAGTTGGAGTCTCTCTCTGTTGCCCAGGCTGCAGGGCAGTGGTGCAATCTAGGCTCACTGCAACCCCGGCCTCCCAGGTTCAAGCAAGTCTTATGCCTCAGCCTCCTGAGTAGCTGGGATGACAGGCATACTAATTTTTGTATTTTTAGTAGAGATAGGGTTTCACCATGTTGGCCAGGCTAGTCTTGAACTCCTGCCTTCAGGCAATCCTCCCACCTCAGCCTCCCAAAGTGCTGGGATTACAGGTGTGAGCCAGTGTGTGGCAGCTCCCCATTCTCTGCCTCCTCCTCCTACTCTGGCCATGTGAGACATCTCATTCCCCACTTGCCTTCTACCATGACTGTAAGTTTCCTGAGGCTTCCCCAGCCATGGTTCTTGTAGAACTTGCAGCATCCTGAGACAATGAAACCTTTTTTCTTTGTAAATTACCCAGGTATTTCTTTATAGCAAGGTGAGAATAGACTAATACAGTTGATGTGAGGAAAAAACCCACACATGTATTTGGCGTCAGAAGTGTGAGAGGAACTGATTGTTTCCTTTGGTGTGTGCAGTGCCCTCTCCTTTGGTACATTTTGCAACCCACAATTTTTTTTTTTTTTTTTGAGACGGAGTCTTACTCTGTTGCTCAGGCTGGAGTGCAGTGGTGCAATCTCGGCTCACTGCAACCTCTGCCTCCCGGGTTCAAGTGATTCTCCTGCCTCAGCCTCCCGAGTAGCTTAGACCACAGGCATGTGCCACCGCACTAGGCTAATTATTTGTATTTTTAGTAAAGATAGGGTTTCACTGAGTTAGCCAGGCTGGTCTTGATTTCCTGACCTCATGATCTGCCCACCTCGGCCTCCCAAAGTGCTGTGATTACAGGTGTGAGCCACTGCACCTGGCAACAATCCCACAATTATGTCTTAAATAGCCACAGCAACGGCATTAACATTTATTTAGAAGTCTACTGTTTGCAAAGCATTTCTATTGTAGACAATGTGTGGAATGACAGTAGGTGGGTGTGGGAGGAAGGGAAAAAGATTCAGGGTGCCCAGGGTCCCTGTTTGTATCAGGACAGCCTGCATTAAAGCTAAAGATGGGGCCAGGAGTTTTTTTGTTTGTTTGTTTTGAGACGGAGTCTTGCTCTGTCACCCAGGCTGGAGTACAGAGACATGATATAGGCTCACTGCAACCTCCACCTCATGGGTTCAAGTGATTCTCCTGCCTCACCCTCCCAAGTAGCTGGGATTACAGGTGCCCGCCACCACACCCATCTAATTTTTATATTTGTAGTAGAGACAGGGTTTCGCCAAGTTGGCCAGGTTAGTCTCGAACTCCTGACCTGAAGTGATCCATCCGCCTTGGCCTCCCAAAGTGCTGGAATTACAGGTGGGAGCCACTGCGCCCGGCCCATTAATATAATTAAAAAAATATGGAACGCTTTATGAATTTGCATGTCATCCTTGTGCAGGGGCCATGCTAATCTTCTCTGAATTGTTCCAATTTTAGCATATGTGCGGCCAAAATGAGCACTCATTAATATAATTTCCTAAAAATATATGAGTGACCATGGCCCGTGACAAAGCCCTCAGGAGGTCTTGAGAACATGTGCCTAGATCTCCTTTTCTGAGAGGTTTGCTCTGACTCCTGACTGTCTCTCCTGCAGGAGACTGGCTCATTCTTCTGCTCCTGGAAAAATAACTGAGGCCTTCCTGGCTCAGGATGCAGATCCAAACCAGGGCCAAGGTCAGGTGCCAGGTGAGGCCAGCAGGAAGTGCTGGGTCTTCTCTCTAGGGTCACTGCACAGTCACCACTCGCTTCCATCCCATTCCATCTTCCATATGTGCAACAACTTGGTTCCATTCATCCGTGCCCAGATTGGCAGGCTGGGAGTGCGGGCTGGGAGGTGGCCTCCAGTAGGGAAGGGAAGAAGAAGGATTTGTCTCTCAGTAGAAATAGCCATCATTTCCTGACACTTCCTCTGTGCCACAGACTTGAAGATCATTGTGGTCATGTTTTTTGTTTTTTTCTGAGACGGAGTTTCACTCTTGTTACCCAGGCTGGAGTGCAGTGGCGCGATCTCGGCTCACCGCAACCTCCGCCTCCTGGGTTCAGGCAATTCTCCTGCCTCAGCCTCCTGAGTAGCTGGGATTACAGGCACGTGCCACCTTGCCCAGCTAATTTTCTGTAGTTTTAGTAGAGACGGGGTTTCACCATGTTGACCAGGATGGTCTCGATCTCTTGACCTCGTGATCCACCCGCCTCGGCCTCCCAAAGTGCTGGGATTACAGGCTTGAGCCACCGCACCCGGCCTGAAGATCATTTTTAACATTTAGTATGTATTAGTAATATGTCGATGGAGTGAAAAAAGGGGTAATTAGTAAAAATTCCCCTGACCTTTTCCTGAGATGTATGGTGCATTTAGAAACACACATACATATATATTCTTTTTTTTTTTTTTCACCATGTTGGTCAGGCTGGTCTTGAACTCCAGGCCTCAGGTGATCCGCCCACCTTGGCCTCCAAAGTGCTTGATTACAGGCATGAGCCACCATGCCCAGCCAATACATATATATTCTTATGTTTTTTGTCTGTTTGTTTTTAGATGGAGTCTTGCTCTTGTCACTCAGGTTGGAGTGCAATGGCGCAATTTCAGCTCACTGCAACCTCCACCTCCTGGGTTCAAGTGGATTACAGGTGCCCACCACCATGCCTGGCTAACTTTTGTATTTTTAAGGTATAGATAGGGTTTCACCATGTTGGCCAGGCTGGTCTCGAACTCTTGACCTCAGGTGATCCACCTGCCTCAGCCTCCCAAAGTGCTTGGATTACAGGCGTGAGCCACTGCACCTGACCAGCATGGAGCCTTGCTCTGTTGTCAGGCTGGAGTGCAGTGGCACGATCCCAGCTCATTGTAACCTCTGCTTCCTGGGTTTAAGCAATTCTCCTGCCTCAGCCTCCCTAATGGCTGGGACTACAGGCTCGTACTACCACACCTGACTAATTTATTTTTATTTTTAGTAGAGACAGGGTTTCACCATGTTGGCCAGGATGGTCTTGATCTCTTGACCTCGTGATCCTCCCGCCTTGGCCTCCCAAAGTGCTGGGATTACAGGCGTGAGCCACCGTGCCTGGCTCTTTTTTTTTTTTTTTTTAAACCCAAATGGTGGCTTTTTCTGATGTACATCTTCATCCTATTTTTGTTGCTTTGTTCTTTGAGATGGTGTCTCACTCTGTCACCTGTGCTGGAGGGCAGTGTCATGAGCATGACTTACTATAACCTTGAACTTCTGGGCTCAAGCAATCCTCTTGCCTTAGCCTCCTTAGTAGCCAGGACTACAGATGTGTGTTACCACACCTGGATAATTTTTATTTTTGTAGAGATGGGGATCTTGCTATGTTGCCCAGGCTGGTCTTAAACTCCTGGACTCAAGTGAGTCCTGCCTCAGCCTCCCAAAATGTTGGGGTTATAGGCATGAACCACCACACCCAGCCTCCACCTTGCTTTTTCACTTAATAATATACATTCTATAAATATAATTTTCTATATATCTCCATATAGAGCTATGCAATTGCTGGATGGATATGTCAAAATTTATTTAACCCGTCTTCCATCAATGGAAATTTAGGCTGCCTCTAGGCAATTTTACTTGCCACGGCCCTGGGACCTAAGCTCTAGTCTTATATACACATTTTACAGATAAGAAAACAGGCTCAGAAAAGTTTGTAGCAGATGGACCAGCTCACAGGAAATAATCAGAAGCCAGGTTCCCATCCAGTGACCTTACCCTTAACCACAATAAAAATAGCTTTTATCAGCCGGGCGAGGTGGCTCATGCCAGTACTCCTAGCACTTTGGGAGGCCGGGATAGATGGATCACTTGAGGTCAGGTGTTTGAGACCAGACTGGCCAATATGGCAAAACCCATCTCTACTAAAAATACAAAAATTAGCCAGCGTGGTGGCGGGTGCCTGTAATCCCAGCTACTGGGGAGGCTGAGACAGGAGAATTGCTTGAACCTGGGAGGCGAAGGTTGTAGTGAGCTGAGATTGTGCTACTGCACTCCAGCCTGGGTGACAGAGCGAGACTCTGTCTCAAAATAAACAAATAAATAAAAGCTTTTATTTTGAACCAGGAAATGACTTACCCACACACATAATTTTCTGTTTTAGAATAGTTTTAGATCTACAGAAAAACTTTGTAGATAAGATAGTTTTCACGTGGCCCATACCCAGTTTCCCCTACTATTAGCATACTTTATCAATATGGTACATTTCTCACAATTAAGGAACCAAGATTCATGCATGACTATTAACTAAAGTCCCTACTTTATTCAGATTTCCATATTTTTAATGTGTTTTAACTTGCACACCGGGATCTGAGTGGCTCAAACTACTGGCGTGCACCACCACATTCAGGTAATTTTAAAATTTTTTGTAGAGATGGGGTCTCGCTATGTTGCCCAGGCTGGTTTCCAACTCCTGGGCTCAAGCCATCCTCCCACCTCAGCCTCCTAAAGTGCTGGGATTACAGGTGTGAGCTACTGCGTCCAGCTTCCGGCAATTTTATGTTTTTAAGCTGCACACGAACAGAGGTAAAGATGAAAAGAGGATACAGTGCAAAACGTAAAAGACAAACGCTGCGTGTAGTTACAGTTTCCCTTCACTTGGCCCCCTAGTTCCCCACCCAGGGTTACCACAGGTAGTCAGTTTATTGCACCCTCTGGGGAGATAGCTTAGACATTTACAAACATGCACAAATATTTTTTTTTTTTTGGTTTTCCTTTTTGTTCCCAAATGGTAACTTACTAGATGCACTTACTTGGAATCTTGAGGTTTTTTGTGTGTTTACTTTTTAATTTGTTTATTTTAGAGATGAGAGTCTCACTGTGTTGGCCAGGCTGGTCTCAAACTTGTGGGTTCACGCGATCCTTCGGCCTCGGCCTCCCAAAATGCTGGGATTACAGGCGTGAGCCACGACGCCCAGCCGGTTATTTTTGGTATTTATTTCTTTATTAGATTAGATTTGATTTTAGATGCCGGGGGTCCATGTGCATGTTTGTTTCGTGGGTGTACCGGGTACTGGTGGGGACTGCGCTCCCAGTGCGCCCGTGCTATTGTTATTTTTCAAGCTCAGCGAGACAGCCGGGAGGTCGCTGCTTGTTGCCGCCGCTGGATGGAGCCTTGCGGGATCGCCGGGTTCCGCAGCCCCTCTCTGGTCCCTGAACTCTGCTCCTCGCGGGGTCCAGCCGGCGGCGGGCGTGGGAAGGGCAGCTTCGGCGCCCCGCCCCGGCCTCTGTGATGTCAGCGCCGGAACCTGGAATCCCGGCTCCGAGAGGGAAGGTCGGGGACGCGGCGGCAGCGGCGGGAGCGGATCCCCGGCGGCCTCAGGAGAGCGGGGCGCAGCCATGAGCGAGTCCAGCTCCAGTGCGCTCCCGCCCGGCAGGCCCAGCCGGCAACTGGCGGCCCACCCAGGTAGGGCGGCGGGGAGCGCGCGCGGGGACAGTGCCCCCGGGGTCCGAGGGCGCACGGAGGGAGCCAGGTCCTGGAGGCTCGGCCCGGCGGCTGTCCCCTCCCACCCCCGGCGCTGGGTGCTCCGGGCTCTGGGGAGCAGCAGGTGGGAAGGGGGGTCTTCCTCATCCTGCTTTCTCCTCCAACGCGTCCTCACTCAATCCAGAGGGAGCCAGCGGGGCCAAAAGGAGCGCTGGAAAGGTAGTTCGGACCGTGGTGGATTTGTCTTCCAGTTGACCGAGAGACCCCGGGACAGTCTTTGAACAGCCTCATCTGTTAAATGAAACGATTGCGGGTACCCCTCCACGCCTAACATTCTGCTGCGAGGTGCCTGCCTCGCAGACATTTCAGGCTTCACCTATATACAGTTAGAACAACTTGAAACCGAATTCTGCCTTGTCTGTTTGTTGCTGTGGGACCTTTGGTAAGTGGCTTGCCTTCTCTGAGCCTCAGCTCCTTCAGCAGTAAAATGGGAATAAGATGGTGCTGGGATTAGCTGAGAACCGTGTGCTGTGTCTAGCAGTACCTGGCATTGTGGATAGACAGACATCATAAATGGCAGCCGGCCAAACATTATAATCTTTTGCATTGGGTAGCATTTACAGTAAAGTATACAGCTCCATGGATTTCTACATAAGTATGTACAACGGCTGCCCGGTCAAGATAGACAAGCTACCAGCACTCAGGCAGGCTTCCCTGTAGCATTTGGAGCTTACGAATCTTGTACTGAACAAGACACAAGACCCTGCTGTAACGTTTTATCTGTAACGTTTTATCTTTTTCAATTTTAGAATAGAGATTTAATGAAACTGGGCATTGCGCCCTTCAAATTGGATTGTTCCCAATGTCTAGAAGAAAAAACTTAGAAGAGACCCAAACCAGAAAACAAAAGTTGGGCTGGGTTTAACGCAAATTATTTTCTAGCTCAGTATGAATACTGCTGGTGCCACCTGAATTTCAGCCTTTCGATAATAGCTAGCCAGGTATTTTTCTAGTTGGTTTCTATTGATCGCCATCTTATTTTAATGGAATCCATTACATTGAAGATGTCAAGTTCCTCATTTCCCATCTAAGGAGTGTGACATTTATCTTTCTTGAATCTCTGTTAAGTGTTTAAGGGGACTTTTGGCATTTTTAAAGGACTATAATTGGCCCCTCTAACTAAAAAGTCTCCTATGCCCCTTAGATAGATGAATTTTTATTTTTGTTTTTATTTTTTGAGATGGAGTTTCGCTCTTGTTGCCCAGGCTGGAGTGCAGTGGCTGCGATCTCGGCTGACTGCAACCTCCGCCTCCCCAGTCAAGCGATTCTCCTGCCTCAGCCTCCTGGGTAGCTGGGACTACAGGCACCCACCACAACACCTGGCTAATTTTTTGTATTTTTAGTGGAGACAGAGTTTCACCATGTTGGCCACGCTGGTCTTGAACTCCTGACCTCAGGTGATATGCCCTCCTTGGCCTCCCAAAGTGCTAGGATTACAGGCGTGAGCCACTGCACCCATCTGATAGATGAGATTTTTTTTTTTGACCTTGTACCCACCAACATTGGTGGGAGGCTCAGAAAGGACTGTGCTGGTAACTTTGTAGCACTTTCTAAATAGTGACCTGTTGTATGTTGTTATAGGACAGACCCTGGGGTGGGGCGGGGGATGGGGGAGGTGACAAAGAGGTCTGGTTTAAAGAATGAGAAGTGGCCAGGCGCGGTGGCTCACGCTTGTAATCCAAGCACTTTGGAGGCCAAGGTGGGCGGATCACCTGAGGTCGGGAGTTCAAGACCAGCCTGACCAACATGGTGAAACCCTGTCTTAAAAAATAATAATAATAAAATTAAGAAAAAAAAAAAAGAATGAGAAGTGTGATCAGGCATGGTGACTCATTCCTGTAATCCTGGCACTTTGGGAGGCAGCAGTAAAATGGGAATAGGATCGTGCTGGGATTAGTTTATTCTTTGAAAGCTCTTACCACCATCTGAAGTCATCTGGTTTGGTTGTTTCCTTGTTTAGTAGCAGTCTTTTTTTTTTTTTTTTTGAGGCAGGAGGATCACCTGAGGTCAGGAGTTTGAGACCAGCCTGGCCAACAAAATACAAAAATTAGGTGAGTGTGGCGGCACGTGCCTGTAATTCCAGCTACTTGAGAACCTGAGGCAGGAGAATTGCTTGAACTCGGGAGGCAGAGGTTGCAGTGAGCTGAGATCGCACCACTGCACTCCAGCCTGAGCGACAGAGCTAGACTCCGTCTCAAAAACAGAAAAACAAAAAACAACTTTCCAGTGGCTTCTCATTGCTCTGAGAATAAACTCCAGGCTCTTCCATGGCAACCAACAGAGTCTGGTGATTCAACCCTAGCCCCTCTTTCCAGACCCCGATCACCCTGACCTTCCCTTAATCCATCACACCCCAGCTGCACTGGCTGCCTTCCTGTTCTTCAAGCACACCAAGATGCTTTCTGCCTCAGGGCCTTTGCATCTGCTGTTCTCTTCGTCTGGACTCCTCTTGGTTCTTTTCATTTATTCTTTTTTTTAATTTAATTTTTATTTTTGAGACAGAGTTTTTCATTCTTGTTGCCCAGGCAGGAGTGCAAGGATGCGGCCTCAGCTCACTGGAACCTCCGCCTCCCAGTTCAAGCGATTCTCCTGCCTTAGCCTCCCGAGTAGCTGAGATGACAGGCATGCACCACCATGCCTGGCTAATTTTGTATTTTTTTTTTTTTTTTTGTTGGGGGGGGGGTTCGCTCTTGTTACCCAGGCTGGAGTGCAATGGCGCAATCTCGGCTCACCGCAACCTCCACCTCCTGGGTTCAGGCAATTCTCCTGCCTCAGCCTCCTGAGTAGCTGGGATTACAGGCACGCGCCACCATGCCCAGCTAATTTTTTGGATTTTTAGTAGAGACGGGGTTTCACTGTGTTGACCAGGATGGTCTCGATCTCTTGACCTTGTGATCCACCCGCCTTGGCCTCCCAAAGTGCTGGGATTACAGGCTTGAGCCACCGCGCCCGGCCTTTAATTTTGTATTTTTAGTAGAGACAGGGTTTCTCCATGTTGATCAGGTGGGTCTTGAACTCCCGACCTCAGTTGATCTGTGTGCCTTGGTTTACCAAAGTGTTGGGTTTACAGCGTGAGTCACCACGCCAGCCCTCCTTTTGGTTCTTAATAGGACATCCTCTTCCTTCTGTTGGGTTTCTGCTCAAATGTCATGTCAGAGAGGCAGAGCTCTGAGGCTGTCTTGTGTGAGGGAATGCCCCCATCTCTCTTCCTCTGACCCTGCTTATTCTTTGAAAGCTCTTACTACCATCTGAAGTCATCTGGTTTGGTTGTTTCCTTGTTTAATAGCAGCCTTTTTTTTTTTAAACAGAGTCTCCAGGCTGGAGTGCAGTGGTGCGATCTTGGCTCACCACAACCTCTACCTCCTGGGTTCAAGTGATTCTCCTGCCTCAGCCTCCCCAGTAGCTGGGATTACAGGCACACGCCACTATCCTGTGCTAATTTTTGTGTTTTTAGGAGAGACAGGGTTTCAATATATTGGCCAGGCTGGTCTCGAACTCCGACCTCGTGATCTGCCCACCTCTGCCTCTAAAAGTGCTGGAATTACATGTGTGAGCTACTGTGCCCAGCTAGTAGCAGTCCTTCCTGGAATGAGGATGCCTTGGAAAACAGAGGTTTCGCCTTGTTTCCCTAGAACCTAGAATGGCTCACAGCGTACAGCAGATGCCACATATATTGGTTATAAATGTAGACTCTGGAGTCTCGGGTGCAAATTCTCTTTCCCTCATTTACAGGTTTTGACTTTGGCCAAGGCAATCAAGCGTTTGGCCCCTCAGTCCTTGTGTATTAAATGGAGATAATAATAGGATCTACTTTAGGGGATCATTATAAGAATTAGGTGAGTTCGGCCAGGCACAGTGGCTCACACCTGTAATCCTAGCACTTTGGGAGGCCGAGGTGGGTGGATCACCTGAGGTCAGGAGTTCAAGACCAGCCTGGCCATCATGGTGAAACCCCGTCTAAAAAAAAAAAACACACACACAAAAGAATTAGGTGAGTTCATTTATATAAAAAACATAGTAAGTAATAATATTACTGCTGGGCGTGGTGGCTTAGGCCTGTAATCCCAGCCCTTTGGGAGGCTGACGGTGGATCACTTGAAGCCAGGAATTTGAGACCAGCCTGGCCAACATGGTGAAACTCTGTCTCTACTAAAAATACAAAAATTAGCCAGGCGTGGTGGTACACACCTGTAATCCCAGCTACTTGGGAGGCTGAGGCACAAGTATCGCTTGAACACGAGAGGCAGAGGTTGCAGTGAGCTGAGATCATGCCACTGTACTCCAGCCTGGGTGAAAGAGCAAGACCTGTCTAAAAAAAAAAAGGCTACATAATAATAATAATATTAGGTGTTTGTATTGTTTCAAATTACTTCAAAACTTAGTGGCTTCGAACAATAATAATCATTTATTTTATTTTTCGAGATGGAGTCTCACCCTGTCACCCAGGCTAGAGTGCAGTAGTGCGATCTCAGTTCACTGCAACCTCCGCCTCCCAGGTTCAAGCAATTCTCCTGCCTCAGCCTCCCAAGTAGGTGGGATTACAGGCACGTGCCACCATGCCCAGCTAATTTTTGTATTTTTAGTAGGAGGAGGGGGTTTCACCATGTTGGCCACATTGGTCTTCAACTCTTGACCTCAGGTGATCTGCCTGCCTTGACCTCCCAAAATCCTGGGATTACAGGCATGAGCCAGTGTGCCTGACTGGTGACTGGCTTCTTTCACTTAGTGTAATATGTTCAAGGTTCATCTGCATTAAAGCAGGTGCCACAGCTCCATTCCTGCTTAGGCGCAGCTGAATAGTATTGCGTTCTGTGGCCGGACTGCATCCTGTTGATCCCTTTCCTCGCTGATGGACATTTGAGTTGTTTTCACCTTTTGAACTACTGTGACTAGTGCCGCTGTGAATACTTCTCTACAAGTTG